CCATTGGTTTTTCCATTGTGACAACTGTGAATTCAAAAATTTTCAAAAAATTCATCAGTATTTCTTAGGGTTATATATTTATGCTGTAAGAAAATTAACAAAATTGTATGTCTGGTTTTCCCGCTTTATACTTGGAAAAAAGTAGTTTTTTAGAGTTTTTTTGAAAACGAAAACATGAAGTTTGTTCAAAATTTGTCAAGATACTTCTAGTTGTCACATATACCTTCTCAATTTTTTTCAAATTTTTTGAATTTGTAGTTTGTCTTTTGGGGGGTGCAGATCAACCTTAAATCATACACATACAGAATTTAAAAAAAAAGCAACGAAATCAGCATGGAATGTGAAGCAACTGATGACGCGGAAGATTCTATTTTCTTACTGTCTTATGAACTAACCATAGTAACTATCCAATGTTATAGTTTGAATGAATCAAACAGTATCTGGGTCCTCTTTTCAGATATCTTTAGAAGATACTCAACTCAGCTCAACAAAAAAAGGCAGTATCTAAGGGCCACTTCTCTTTATTCTATATATACATGATATAGCTCGTTTCATTGACAGCAACTTCATTTTATTATGAAAAACCAGAGAAAGAATGGCAACTTACCAAGATGCAAGACGAAGGGCCGATAAAATATGCCGAACAGAGAAAAGAAAATATGAAAACGGCAATATACAGAAAATGGAAGAAAATCTTCAAAGCAACAATATAAGACAGACATACAAATATCTACGCAATTTAAGAGGATACAAACCCCGAACAAATCTATGCAGAAATCAAGAAGGGCAAATAACCGGTGATCCAAAAGAAATAAAACCAGTCTGGAAAACCTATTTCCAAACTCTTTTAGGGGCACAAGAAAATGAAAAGCATATGGACATGCATCACAATGAGGAAGACACCGAAAATATAGAACCCCAACGATGGAAGAGGTAAAACAGGCAATATGAGCACAAAAGAACAATAAGGCTCCAGGTATTGACAACGTCCCCCCTGAGCTATACAAATTAGGTGGCAATCACCTAGTAGGACAAATGCATATGCTCATGAATAAGATTTGGAATGATGAAAAGACCCCTAATGACTAGAAAACCGGGATTATATGCCCAATCTATAAAAAAGGGATAAACTGAAATGTGAAAATTATCGCCAGATAACCCTCTTGTGCACGGCGTACAAAATTTTTACTTACATACTAAACAAACAACTCCAACAACTAACTGAAAATATTGTCGGGGAATATAAAACCGATTTCCAACAAGGAAGATCTACAACTGACCAACTATTCACAGTGAAACAAATTAAAAAAAAAAAAAGTGTGAGTACAATATTGACGTCCACAACATATTCATAGATTTCAAACAAGCCTATGACTCAATTAATAGGAACAAGTTTTATCAAATATTGCAGAGCTTTAATATCCCCCAAAAATACATCTGACTGGTAAAAAAAAACAATGGATTCATCAATAGCGACTGTCAGAGTCCAAAATGAGCTCACTGAAAACTTTACAGTAGTCCAAGGATTAAAGCAACTGACCTTTGAATATGTGATAAGACAGCTGAATATAGGAAGAGCTAATCTTCTAACAAATAAATCAATACAGATTGCCGATGATATCAGCAATATGTATCGCAGAACAGAAGAGGCGGCACAAATATATTCACAATTAAAAACAAAGGCAAAAGAGACGGGACTAGAAATAAATATTCAAAAGACAAAAAAGTTAACATAGGCAAGAGCTAGGGGAAACAGACGCACAGTTGAATTAGAGGATGATATTGAAATGGTAGAAAGATTCAGATATTTAGGAGTTGCATTAAACACGGATGAAACAGAAGAACCAGAAATCCAAAGAAGAATAGTAAAGGGAAACAAAGCTTATTGTTCACTCGATCATGTGTTCCGCTCCAAAAACACACCGGAGATCGAAAATCAGGGTCTACAAAACTATTATCAGACCGATAGTAAGTTATGCATGTGAGACATGGGTGATGACAGAAGAGACATGTCTTCGAAAGAAAACTGGAAGTCTTCGAAAAGTCCTAAAAAAGATATTTGGACCTATTAATGAAAACGGAATATGGATATCCAGGTACAACCATGAACTCTACCAACTGTTTTAAAGAGACACAGAGAGAGGGAGAGGGAGGGGGGAGGGACGGAGAGAGAGAGAGAGAGAGAGAGAGAGAGAGAGAGAGAGAGAGAGAGAGAGAGAGAGAGAGAGAGAGAGAGAGAGAGAGAGAGAGAGAGAGAGAGAGAGAGAGAGAGAGAGAAGAGAGAGAGAGAGAGAGAGAGAGAGAGAGAGAGAGAGAGAGAGAGAGAGAGAGAGAGAGAGAGAGAGAGAGAGAGAGATCACCACCACCATCATGTTTTGGAAGGCATGTAAAACTCTAAGTCTTGGCTATGTCAGTGGTCATTAAGTCATGTTAGGGGCGCTTATGTAAATGTAACCTTAAAACCCTAACAACACTAGACCTAGCCAAAAGGTTACACAAACTTTTTACTAAATATAAGTATTTCAGAATTAAGGGGACAGTCTCATGCGGAACTTTCAAAAAATCAATTTTAATTTTTTTATATAAATCGCTTCCATTTACATTCAAAAACCCCCTTCTAAAATTTTAAAAAGAAATTCCCACTAGAATATAAGTTATAGTTATTTTATTAATGTCATCTATGCACGTATAAAAACCAATTTCTCTCCGCGCGGCGAGCCCGAGGCTCCAGCTGTTCTTGATTTTGTATATATGTTGTATATATGTTGGGTATGTATTAGTGACTCATTTTTATACAGTATGTATATCAGTATAACGTTTGGTAGTTACTATACACATTTGGAATTTTAAATCCGGAACATAGGATTTTTTACAAATACTAAGATTCTCTGTGTTGCAATTAACCAGTGTTTCTTTATAACATCGTGATGTTTTATAACTAATTTATTTGTTCCACTGGATTTATATTTCCACTTCTCCTCAGTGGTTTATAGTAGCAGTAGCTTATATATGCCGACAGTGTTGCTCCATCTACTGATTTTTCCTGAAAGTCCGGTTTTGTGCAGATAATAAATAATGTTTTATTAACATCAATTTTGTTTGTGTTCATTAGGTATTATTTGAGTTATAAAATTTATATTTAAATACATTTATTAATCCAAATATTATTTATAATTTCAAAATAAAAAGAGTGTAATATAATTATTTTATTTTTAAAATTCCTTTTTATTTTTAATTTTAGAAATCAACTTTTTCTTTAAGCCGTTTTGGCAATAAAACATAACCATTTTTTTAGTTATAAAATATTTTCTAATATCTACATTTATTTATAAGTACATTTTTGTTGAATTAACATGCGATATAGGTGTGTTCCGTTTTTACACTTAAACTGGCAGCATCGCGGCATGAATTGAGAGTGAGACTCCAGTCAAACAAATGAATTAATTATAAAACATCGCGACATTGTATTGAAATTTACAGCTTTACAAAGCCATTTACAACAACTGTTGGATGAAGACGGTCCTCAATATTCACCAGGAATAGCCGATTAAATGTGAGTAAACTCTACCAACTGTTTTAAAGAGACACAGAGAGAGAGAGAGAGAGAGAGAGAGAGAGAGAGAGAGAGAGAGAGAGAGAGAGAGAGAGAGAGAGAGAGAGAGAGAGAGAGAGAGAGAGAGAGAGAGAGAGAGAGAGAGAGAGAGAGAGAGAGAGAGAGAGAGAGAGAGAGAGAGAGAGAGAGAGAGAGAGAGAGAGAGAGAGAGAGAGAGAGAGAGAGAGAGAGAGAGAGAGAGAGAGAGAGAGAGAGAGAGAGAGAGAGAGAGAGAGAGAGAGAGAGAGAGAGAGAGAGAGAGAGAGAGAGAAGAGAGAGAGAGAGAGAGAGAGAGAGAGAGAGAGAGAGAGAGAGAGAGAGAGAGAGAGAGAGAGAGAGAGAGAGAGAGAGAGAGAGAGAGAGAGAGAGAGAGAGAGAGAGAGAGAGAGAGAGAGAGAGAGAGAGAGAGAGAGAGAGAGAGAGAGAGAGAGAGAGAGAGAGAGAGAGAGAGAGAGAGAGAGAGAGAGAGAGAGAGAGAGAGAGAGAGAGAGAGAGAGAGAGAGAGAGATATGATGGCGGTCATAGATCAGTGGTTAGGTTACAGGCTTAACAACCTGAAGGGCCCAAGTTTGATTCCCTGCACCAACCATCATGTTTTGGAAGGCATGTAAAACTCTTAAGTCTTGGCTATGTCAGTGGTCATTAAGTCATGTTAGGGGCGCTTATGTAAATGTAACCTTAAAACCCTAACAACACTAGACCTAGCCAAAAGGTTACACAAACTTTTTACTAAATATAAGTATTTCAGAATTAATATAAATTAAATTAATTTAAAATTCAATGAAAGTTTCCAGTTGAATGGTTTATTAACATTGAATGATCACAAGCTACATTTTAAAGACCATATGCAAAACTTTTATTTTTTTTCTAGAATATCAAAAGTCAATGCAAATTGTTTAAATCAGTAAATCAACCTCACTTATACTTCTATGCATCTTATGTATCTCTTCAACATAAATCAATTCTCAATTACAGAAAATACAAAATAAAATGAGAAATTTTTTAAGGGTTCCCATAACTATCCCCATAATATTTAGGTTGTAACAAAGAATATAGACGCTTACTATATTCTTTGGTTGCAGTGTTTACAGTAGAAATTATTTTACTTGTGTCTGGACTTCATACAATAAAATGACAACTAATTTAGGCCCACAAATTTTATTAGCATAACTTTGCAAATGCATAATTGAGGCACTAATCCTCTTCAGTTAAAAAAATTTAATATTTAAAACGGAAATGCTAAGGGTAAAAGGGGACGGTAAATATAATCTGAAATTTGAATTATTTGTTACTTTTAAAACTGTTGATCTACATACATATTTATTAAATTAAAAATAACATTTTAAAAAAAATAGCTACTGGTATTTTGCTTTTAGAATCGACCAAACTTGAATACAAACAGACTTACTAAATGCGAAGCAAATCCAATAGATCTTGCTGAAGAATTGATAATGTGGCATTTGATTGTTGTTGTTCCTACATCTAATGCCGCTATATATCCTTTTGAATCTCCTGACATCTTTTCAGCTCAGCCTATCTAAAAAATAATGACATGGCAAGGAAATACAACCTTTGCTTGAATCGTCATAAACGATTAATTATTCATATAATTGATTAATGTTATTTGTTATTGTTGTTTATCTATTTGAAAGGTTAAAGTTAAATCATGATACTTCTTCTTCTTCTTCTTTCGTTTTATGGCCTCCACCTCTTAGGTACCTGGCCAGCTCATGTGTATATTTTTAATTCAATTATAGGAGGGAATTCTCAATTCTCCTCACAGAGATTCTGGAAATAACCATATTCCCTTCAACTATTTTGGACAATTTATAGTGGATATTCTAAAATAATTCTATATGTCATTAATGATATAGATTTTTCTTGTTCCATCTATTAAGCTATGTAAGGTATGATGGTATATCTGGAATTTGGCACTTGGACAGGACAGGACATCAGTGGTTAAAGATGTGGTTAAAGGATAGGTTAGGTTGGGTATTTATTTATATTTTACTTACATTTTAACAAAGAATATAGACGCTTATAAGCGTCTATATTCTTTGATTTTAATTTGGAAAATATTGATAAACTTACCAATCGTTTTCAAGGTTTTAGCATTGATATTGTGGAAAATATTTTGTACTGAAATGGGCGTTGGGCATCCATCTTTAATAAGTTTTTCATATAAATCAAATAGTGGTGTCTTATTGATAGGACACTCTAGCAAGATGTGTATTATACTTCCTATTTGACCACACTCACAAAAAGGGGAATCAATACAGTTAATTTTAAATAGATGATCTGGTGCCAAACAGTGTCCTGTTCCTAACCTAATAATTGTTGTCAGGTGTCTAGGGTCTACAAAGTCAAACTTATGAAACCATGGTTTTATAGAGAATTCGCTTTGACATTGTTGATACCACTTTCCCTTTTATTTAAACTGTTTAAGCCAATCAAGTTTAAATTTATTTATTAATGTTTGAGTAAGAAATGAAAGATAGTCCATTTTATCAATTTTTATGTTAGCTGGGATGTTTAGGGTTCTACCTATATTCGCCAATTGATCTGCCACAATATTCCCTTTTACTCCTGAGTGGCCTGGAATCCAGGCTATAATAATATCAAATCCTGCTTCATTTGCCTCAAGTATTAATCTTTTAGTTAAATTTACAATGTGGTTATTTGTTCCCCAACAGGTACTTTGACACAGAATAATAAACAATCAGAAAGGCCACTCTCAGATGCCGCCTTTGAAGTTTTTCAGCACGCGTGCCATGTTTTAGGAGGACACAGACATATGATTTGTGTGGTTATGTAATTGTTTATATTTATGTTTAATTATATTATATTTATGTTATTATATTTAACAATGTTAATATAATTGTATAGTATGTCTATGATTGCCGTAAGTCAAATAAACCTGGTTAATTTTTTCATGCACACCACATAAACAACACTAATTTCTTTAAAATCCTCCTAAAACATGGCGGAACGTCTGCGCGGAGTAGATGCGCGTACTTAATTTTCCGTGGAGAGTGGGTATTCTGTTTGTTTATTATTCTGTGACTTTGACCTTTTTGTCTATTCGCTTATACGGGCTTTACACCAACAATAAATTCATGAAGAAATTCGTGAAGTCGCTTCAAGGTCAAATTTGACCTGTGTAAAGCACAATTTGACATCCAATTTTGCCGTGAATAAATTCATGAATAACTTCGTGAAGAAATTGACGAAATAGAACATGTTCTATTTTTCCCATTTATTGGACGTGAATTCAGTATCGCCAACCTGTGTAGATTTGGCGCGAAGTAAGGATAATAAATATTTTGTTTTTGATTATTGAACCAAATTGAACTTTGCATTTTTAAGTCGTGTGTCAAGTAATAATTTATTATGGAAAAGAGGTAAGTTTATTATTTTATAATGAAAGACAGAGAATAATATGTATTTTTTTTTAGGAAAAACATAAAATTTCGATGCAGAAAACTCTAGTTTTTATTAAAATATTGTTTACTTTTCCCTTTCTTACATGTTTTTTTTTTCAAATATTATTTATTTAACTCTTTGAGAATATATAGTAAATATTTGTTAATAAAAGATTATATAATTCTACCTTTTTATTCACTCCTATCTTTTACTTGGTCTAGTCATTAGGTAAATGTTTTTATCATCTTGAAAGTTTAAAAATGGATTAATCAACGTTTTCCAAGAGATATGGATGCTATTGATTTCTGAAACAGGAAAGGATGGTTTTCTTTGAAATGCCAAGTATGGAGTGATATAGTACCTAGGCTGTCACATTCCGCTCATGATTCACAAAAGAATTTAGAGATTTTAAATTCTGATAATTTGGTGATACTCCCTGAATATATTTTCTTTTTGAACCAGGTATGGATAATATTGTATTATTGATAGGAACCATAGGTATGGATAATATTGTATTATTGATAGGATTTTTAAATTAACTTTGCGTTGATTCAACTCATCTATTTTTTTGAACCAGGTGTATGAATAATTCTATATTATTGATTAGATTTTAAATTCACATTCAGACTGTCCACTAAAACATCTTGAAATTTTGTGCAATGAATTCCAGATATGTAACAGAATGTGTATGGAAGAAGAAAGTTTCCAATTTTAGCCAATGAAAGTGGCTGTATAGTTGAAATGATTCAATTGAAAAATCAAAGTGGAGACAATTTTGAAGATGAATTGCTAAAGACATTATTGAACTTCCTTAAGTTGAAGGTGTTTGAGAACCCTATAAAATATTTTTGTGTTATGGGAAAAACTTGGAAGCATCATTAATATACATAGAACTTTTTTTTTATTTTTTTATTAAATTTTTCTTTGTATAATTTAATTTTTAAACCTAATAAATCTATTTCTTTTCAATGCATGTCTTCACCAATTCCATTTCTCTGACATGTTACTGTTGTGCTCTTTCTCTACATGAAGCCGTTGGCCTGCTACTTATTTTGTTTTTTCTTATTCTCATACTTTATTATTCATAGTTTTCTTCTAAAATTGACTATCTTCCTTTAAAAGTGCAGGATTCCATATCCTACGGATAAAATCTGTATAGTTTTTATTTAGAAAAAAATCATAGATGTTTGTGTATAACAAAAATTAAAACTAGCTTTTATTCCTGTTATTATGATTCTTCATTTATTATTTAAATTATATATTTAAAAATTATTGTTTTTATACACCTATTTAGTTTAGTCCTAACCTACCCTACTATTCAATAAAGCAAATTGTAATAAAGACAAATCATTAAAATTGTAAAGAATCAGCTCACAAACTAGTGGTAAAGTATTACTGGTTATTTCCATGTTTTATTTATTTTAAGTATTCATTTCTCTACAATATCTCTTTGTGATTAGAATTGTACACATCTCAATATTCTTTCAACAATAAACATAGCTATTTATTTATATTAGGTAAATATCTCTTGAGAATATAATATGAATAGTGGTTAAAAGATTATAAAAAGTATTGTAGCTTTCTCTATTCTTTACTTCTACTTGGTTGAGGCAGGTATTGTATTTAAATAAAGACTCATCATTATAAAAGTCACAATGAATTGATTAACATTTATACTAACTACAGTTTATTTTTAGTATGTAATGAATGCTAGATTTTCTTGTTCTTTCATATAAAAAAATCAAATTACCACTTTTTCTGTTTCTTTATCTATGTTGTCCTTATTAAAGTTATTTGAAATTATCTGTAATTTCCACTTATTTTTACCTCTTGTTCAAGTTCTTACTCTTTACAGAATTCACGAATTCAGCTATATTTTTTGTACAATCTTAATCACTATTTTCTTTTTAAAACGATATTGTTTTCTGATTCTGATTATATTTCCAAATCCAAATATATATTTATTCAAATAAACAACAATAAATAACAACCAATAATAAAACCATTGGTACTACTGAAATAATGACACTTGATGTAAAAATTTATTTGAAGTCAAAGAAACTTTTACGTCCAAGAAATTCACGAATTTATTGACACAGAAATTGATGAATAAATTCATGAATTTCTTCGTGAATTTATTGTTGGTGTAAAGCCCGTATTAGCTAGGGCATATTTTGACAGACTCATTGTTGGAAACTTACAACACAACAATTCCTACTTCTCAGTATTCATAGCTCAAGTATACTACTGTTGCAGACTTCTTTCTTTGAAAAAAGAAGAATTATTCGAAATAGTGGAAGTGTATACTAAACCCATCAGATTTTCCCTGTATATTTAAAATATAATATTTGAATTGTTACAATTTAAAATATTGTAGTAAATATTTGTATTATTCGCGTTGTTTATTTAATTTAATATAGTTTTATTATCTTTGTTTAATTCTTTTGTTAGTTCCATTCAGTTAATTAGTTAGTTATATTTTAAAATTTATTATTATGGATAGTCAAAGTTTTCAATTTGTTCCATCAGCTAATGCCTTGGTAAGTTTTTCTTAATAAATATGATAAAATGGAAAAATTAATATTTTTAGATTAGTTGTTTCTAATTTAATATAAACTTGTTTATACTTACATGGAGGTTTTTGTTTTTTGTTTGGGTTTATATGACTGCAGACTGCGGCCAGGACACTGAATTCATTCACCATATGTGAAAGATTTTAACATCCTCAAATGCTAATGAGCAAAAATTACTATTGAACCACGAATTTGCCTAGTCAAATTACTAATATTTGCTTTTAGCTTATGGAAGTACACTTATTTTGTAAGATAATAAAACAACAGTTTATGTTAATGCTATCCAATGAACTGTTAATCTTTAATCATTGATTCCATCCTAGTCACAACATAAGGAACTTGCTGTGTCTTATTTAACCTCACTTTGACTTTTAATTTTGTAGAATTTATTCCCACTTTTTTTATTTTGTACAATAAATAATTTTATTATTTGTTATCAATACATTATACGGTGTAAATAAATAAATATTGATTGTCGGCAAAGTTCTATTTTATTTACTTTTGTTTACATTAATATTGACTAAGAGCACGTATGCTTGGTTGTATAGTAATTTCCAGCCACTTCGAGTCTGTCAAAAAGTAACTAACTTCGCAAAAAAATAATTACTAAAATCACTAGACAGTTCGGACTGGGA